TATCCTGAGATGTGGTAGGGTCCAAGACCCTGATGCACACAATGGTAAGATTCAGGGGAAGGAAGAGCAGTGTGAGATGAAACCACAGAGGTTGGATGGGGCTAGATCAAGCATTAGTTTGTACTTGGTACTAAGGACTTTTTTCTAAGGATGATGAGTGGCCATTAAAGAACTTTAAGCAGGCAGATACCATGGTAAGATTTGCATTAAAAATATATATACAGTCACCCTTCAGTATCCCTGGGGGAGTGGTTCTAGGATCCCCCCACTCCACTCCAAAAATCCATAGATGCCAAAGTCCCTGATATAAAATGGCATTGTATTTGTATATAATCTACCCTAATGTTCCTATAAATGTACTTCAAATTATCTTTGGATTAGTTATAATATTCAATGCAACATAAATGCTTTGTAAATAGTTGTTATACTGTATTGTTTGGGGAATAACTAATAGAAAAAAGTCTATACACGTTCACTGAAGAAGCAATTTCCCCCAAATATTTTCAACATGCTTTTGGTTGAATCTGCAAGTATAGAACTTGCAGATTCAAAGTATAACTGTACTTCATGCTGTATAGTATGAAGACCACTCTAATTAATTAATTGGAGCTAAGTAGAATACATTTATTAATAGAAAAATGAGTGACAAGGAATGTTTGAATGAGAGTGATAATAGGATCGGAGAGAAATGTATGAGTCCAAGAGATATTTAGGAGATATGACCAATAGGATCAGGTGATTGATGTTTGGAGTAGGGAGACAGTGAAGAGAGAAAGAGGGAATAGATTTAAATATGATTTCTGGATCTCTGTCTTGAACTGAAAGTAGAAGGATGGCATTTACTGAGATACACAACACTGGTGGAGAGAGTTTGTGTGATACAAGATGGTGAGCTGAGTTTTGGACAAATTAAGATACTAGTTTATGTTATTTAAATTAAGATACTAATTGGGGAATTTGAGTATGCTGTTGGAATATGGACCTGGAGCCAGGAGGGGAATCTGAGCTGGAGTTATAAATGTGGAGGTCTTCTATGTTTACAAATCATGGAAGCAGTTGAGATTACTTAAGGAGGAAGTGTTGGGTTAACATCAAAGACCAAAACAGAAAGGCATTTGTGGAAATCACATGTACATGAAGAGGATGGGTCAGAAGAGGAGGTTACAAAGGAGCTTAAAAGGTACATTCAGGGACATAAGAGGGTGCAATCATCAAAGGCAAGGGAGGGTGATATTTGCAGAAAAAGGAAGTAGCTAACTGTTAAATGATGTGACGAGAACAAGTTTATCAGATAGGATGTGTGGTTGGAAGTAACAGAGAAGCTGATTCAACTTGCTTAAACAACTAGAGCATCTGTTAACTTTTCTAACAGGGATTTTAAAGGCTTGGAAGGCTTCAGGTTCACCTTATTCTAATAGTTCTGGCTCACATGTGTTGGCTTTTCCCTTAGATTATTTCCCTCATGGAGAGAAAATGGCTATAGTTGCTTCTGGTTACACACCAATACTTCCTCTGTCTAGAGGACAGTTTGTCTCATCTATTTGCTTACTCTGAAAGAGAGTACACTCTTGTACACTCCTCCTGGCTTATTATCGAACTGAGTTGAGTCACATAATTATTTCTGAGTCAAATTCTGACCAGAAAAATACCTTGCAGTAATGACTTAAATGTGATTTTTCAGAAACTGCTGCTGCAAAGGGCTTAGAGATAGGTAGACCAAAAGGGTTGTCCCAGGACATAGAGATGGAATTTCTTTTCTTCATCCTCAGAACTGGAATTCTTTTGGCAATGGTGAGGGAGAGAACAGATGTAAGTTGGGCAACCGCCAATATCCACTATATATACATAAGCAAGGGTTGAAATTATTTATTGGAATTTAAAAACATTTGTACATGTTTCTTGAGTTGTACTTGATATATACTATACTGAACATATTTTAAAGGGGCGCCACAGCACCCTGGCCATAGTCAGGATAATGAGCATAATCATAACCACAAAAGTTTTCTCCAGACCTCTCCTCATCATTTTCTCCTTTTCCTTCTTATCATAGAACTCCCTCCTCATCCCATTCTCAGGCAACCAACATCTCTCTGTTGCTATAGATTTATTTGCATTTAGAAAAGAATTTTACATAAATGAAAGGATACAATATTATGGGGGTCTGACCTCTTTCATTCAGCATAATTCTTTTGTGATTCATCCATGCTGTCTCATTTCTCAATAGTTCCTTCATTTTTACTGCTGTACGGTAGCCCACGGAATGAAAATACTACTTGGCCACCCATGTGTTCAAGCCCATTTGGGTTGTTCCCAGTTCTGAGCTATTGTAAAGATAGGTGTAAGGAATATTTGGATACAAGTGTGTTCCCTAGGGCTGATACCTAGAGTGTGATGCCTAGGTCACATGGAAAGAAACTGAAAACCGTTTACAAAGTGTCCATTTTAAATTCTCACTAGCAGTAGATGTAAGTTGCACGTCTTTAGTCTTAGTAACACCTGGAACTGGCATTGCTTTTAAAATTAACCATTCTTTTGAGTTAGTAGAGATATCCCACTTTTCTCTTAATTCGCATTTCTTTAACAACTGATGAAGTTGAGCTTCTTTGTTATTTTGCTTATACTTTTGCTATTTCTTAGGCTTATTTGCTATTCACATACCTCTTTTGGTCAAATATCTGTTCAAAAATTTTACTTAATTAGAAATAACTATTTTTCCTTATTATTGAGCTGTAAGAGTTCTTGAATTATAGTGAATAATAGATAAGTCCTTCATTAGAAATATGATTTGCAAATACAGAGTCTGGCAAAATAATGTATACACCACTTTGAGCACCTCTTCTAATTGTAGAGGCCAAAGGTAACTTGTATTCATCTTATGGTGTCTCAATAAATTTAGTATTAAAATATTTATACAAGTTTTTCTTTTCCTGATATATGCATTTTTGGGGGCGGACTCTGTATTTTAAATATTTTTCTTCAGTCTTCGGCTTTCTTTTTAGTTTTCTTAAAGCTATCACTCAAAGAGCAAAGTTTTTGTTTCGATGAAGTCAAATTTATAAATTTTTAATTTTTTTTTTTTGGTGTTGTATTTAAGAAATCATTTCCAAATCTAAGGTCCTTAAGATTTTCTCTTGTTTTAGAATTTTTTTCTTTCGCTTTTAAAATGGGCTTCACTGTGACATTTTCATGTGTGCACACATTTTGGTTTGATCACGTCCATCGTCCTTACTGTCCTCTCCTGGCCTCTTCTCTTTTCTCTCTTCCACTTTCTTATTTTCAAACCTTTTTGTATGTTTGTTTCAACCTATGACAGACAACCTGTGATGCTTTCTTTTTGTGTCTGGCTAATTTTGCTTAACATCTATTTTCCTGAAAATGACATGATTTCATTATTTTTATGAGTGAATAAAACTGCATCATGCCATATATTTTATTTTATTTATTTTTTGGTACTGGAGATGGAACTTGGGACCTTGCACTTGTGAGGCAGGCAGCGGAACCACTGAGCTAAATACCCGGTCCCATCATGCCATATATTTTAAAAGTCCATTCCTGTGTTGATGGGGACCTACGCTGATTCCATACCTTGCCAGTTGTGAAGAGTGCCAATATAAACATGGCTATGCAAGTATCTCTTTTGTGTGCTGACTCCATTTTCTTCAGGTACATGCTCAGGAATGGTACAGCTGGGTTACAGGAAATAGATATATTTGTAGCTTTCTGAGGAACCTCTATGTTGCTTTATATAGGCTCTCCTAATTTACATTTACTTTTAGTTTATTTTCACGTTTTTCTTTATTTGGGTTTTCTCTTTCTTGATTCTATGTTTACATGCAGTTCCTCAAAAAAAATGCATTCATCTACATTTCCCTTATGTAGCAGAAATTTATTGACGGCATTCCCTTTGAATTTGTGAACTTTTATCTATATCTATGATTAAGACCCTTTGTGGCTTTCTATCTTATTTATTTGTATTTTATATTTTTTTGTTAAGCAGACTTAAGACTTGTTCATTTTTATTAAGTGTTTTCAAAGTACTGTTTTGGTTTTATTATTTTCTAGTTTAAAAAATTTATTCTTAGATCATTAACTCTATTATCCTTATTAATTTATTCTATGTTAACGTGCTTATTTTCCTGTTGTTTTATAGTCTTTTGGAGAATATTTGAAAAGTTTTTATGTAATTAGTTATTCAGTATCCCTTTAATCAAATAAGTATAATTTATATTAAATAATTAATTCCATTTACCCATCTCCTATACTTTCTGGTGTATTTTTCTCATCTTTTATATATTATAAACTCAAAAACCCATAGTTATTGTTTTTTCTTTCAACAAACAGCTGTCATTTAAATAAATTGAAGAAGAAAAACATGTTTTATATTGGTTTACTTACTTATCATTTCTGGCTTTCTCCATTCCTTCTCATAGATTCTATTTCCATCTGGAATCATTTTCTTTCAGACTGAAGGTTATCTTTTAGCACTACTTCTAGTAAAAGTCTACTGCAACACATTTTCTCAGTTGTTTAGGATTTTGTGAAATATCCCTATTTCACCTTCATATCTGAAGAAATTTTTGCCAGATATAAAAATTCTTTCAGCACACTGAATGTGTCATTCCATTAAATTCTGGCCTCCATCATTTGTGATAAGAAGTTAGTAATCTTTCTAACCTATTCTCCCTTACATGGTGTTGGTCTCCACCTCACCTCTAGGTGATTTTAAGACTTTATTTTGGTGCAATTTTAGGATGAATATCCCGAGTGTGGTTCTTTTTATTTTTATCCTGCTTAGAGTTTATTGGGCTACTTCAATCTGTTAGTCAGAACTTTGTTTTAAAAATCAAATTGGGGAAGCTTTAGTCACCTGTTTAAATATTTTTCTGGCTCGCTTACATTATTTTTTATTCTCTTAAAATTCTTATTACATGTTAGACCATTTGATAGTTTTCCACCCTTTCTTGAGAGTGTAATCATTTTTCCTCAGTCTGTTTTTTTACCTTGTTCACCATAGATTGAATAATTTTTATCACTGTATCTTTAGACAGAATAGGCTGGACAAAGATGACGCATTCGCAGGAGTAGCAGTAGATACCAGTTGTCAGTTAAAGCCAACTCAGGAGGATGTCAGGTCAGCTGAGGTCATCAAACATAGCACCTCATGTGGCTTCTTCAGGTAGCTTCAACTCTTACACCATGGCAGCTGAGTGAGAGTTCCGAGAGACACAGGTGGCAGCTCTAGGGCTTCTTATGACCTCGGCAAAGATGTTCCATAGTGTCATTCCCCCTGCCTTCTATTGATCTAAAGATTCTAAGATGAGGCTGTAGGACATTGGCACAGCCACTTGGAAAAAGAGTTTATGGCATAGGAGAAATTGTTGCCATCTTTAGAGTTTACTGTTTCTTTAGCGTTTTCATCTATATCTATATCTATATATCATCTGGATCATTTTAGTTTCTATTGGTCATTTTCCCCCTTTATGATAGTTCACATTTCTTGTTTCTTCCTATGTTTAATATTGGTTTTTATTGAATATCGGACATTTAGAATAATACACTGTATGGACTCTAGATTCTGTTATCTTTCTTTGAAAATTATCAAGGCATGTTTTAGCAAGCATTGATCTTAATGACTGTTCATTTTGAATCTATATAGGTTTGACTTCATGCTTTATTTGGGTAGATCTATTTCCCACCCCTGTAAGTCCTGGCAATCCCCTACAACAAAAGGGATCTCAACATCCAAAGTCTCTTTTTCATAAAAATCTTTTCAGGACATGATTTTAGACACAGCTGATTTTAGGAAGGTCTAGAATATGTCTTACACTGAGGCAGCATCCAGTACTCTTCAGGAAAGCTTTTTTGGTGACTCAGCCTGATGTTGGCTTGTTGATGAGGATTCTCCACTCTGGCGAGGTGAGCATTCCCTAGAACTGCGGTTACCTTAGCCCAACCCAATCCTGGCATTTCTGTTCCTTTCTCCACCACTTTGCAGTTTGCTGTCTGGTGAAGCCTGGGATGGAACTCTTTTGTGCAAATAGAGTCTAGCGCTCGTCATGTGCTCATGGAGGTACCCGGCACAGGCTGTTGGAGACTCCAACTCTGCACATTTTCTTCTTTCTTGTGTGCTTTGCTTTTTGAAATCAGGCTCTGACCTCTGATTTCTGCCTTGTAAGCTCAGCAGGATAGCCCAGCTCAGCTCATTTCCTAACACTTTTTATGCTCAGAAATTGCAGTTTTATTTCTGCTTATTATCCAATGCCTGAAAGACTTTCTTTGTATATTTGTGCGGTTTTATAATTGATTATGGTGAAGATACTAAGGTAATACCCATTATCCTATCATGGCCAGAAACACAAGTCCTCTCCGTCTTTTTATTTATGACCCTCAGCTTTGTGTTATATTTGGAAAAAACCCTGTCACTGTTCTGAGATTACAATAAAAAATCATCCCATAAGTTTTTCCTAGCACTATTTATGGTTTTAATTTTTAAAGAGTTTAATTTCTGATCCAAATGATTTGGATGACTTATGCTACGAAATATGAAGCCAATTTAATTTTTCTCTCACAGTGGTTATTTGGTAGTCCCAAAACCATTTATTTAAAAATACTCTTAATTTTTTAACAACTTACATGAAATACCTCATATCATTTACTTTTTTTAAATGCTTCTTTGAGTATATTTCTGAACTTTTAGACCATCACATTGATCTGTCTGTTCACATACTAGTATGCCACTGTTCATTTGTGACTCTATAATGCTTTATTTTAGTTTTTTTGTGATGAGATCTTGCTATGTAGTTCAGACTGGCCTTGAACTCACTATGTAGGACAGGCTGGCCTCACACTCACAGCAATCTCCCTGCCTCAGCCTCACATGTGCTAGGATTACAGGCATGTGCCACTGCGCATGGCTATGATGCATTTTAATATATGATAAAATTATATCCATTACATGAATCTTCTTTTTCATAATTGTATTGACTCTTCTTGTTTATCTATTTTTTCATATTAACTTTAAAGTCAACTTGTATAGTTGAAACATCCTTCTTGTAATATACATTTAGTTTATAAATTTAGTTAGAATTCTTAAATTTGTAAGGCCATTCTATTCAAGAAAGTATATTGTCATTTTATCTACTTAAGTATTCTTTTGCATTGGTCAATAGTGCATTTCTTTTTGGTACCGGAGATTGAACTCGGGTCCTTGCACTTTCAAGGCAGGTGGCGGAACCACTGAGCTAAATCTTCGGCCTGATAGTGCATTTCTTATTAAATTTACATGTAGATACATCTTTGTGGTGATATTTTAATGGGGGCCATTTTCCAATGTACCTTTTAATTAGTGGTTATTTGTGGATAGAAAAGCCTTTGGATAAAAATGTGGATGTGGATTACTGATTTCAACCAATTTTTAACAATATACTATGATGTTATAGATGTTTTCCTTTTAATCTAGCAATATCACATTTGCAAAATTACAAGGAATTCAGTAAACAATAAGAGATAGCAATCACAATATAATCCCTCCACTTTGAAAAGTGAGTCAAAACACAAGTCCTCTTTCAGCTGTTGAAGATGTTGTAATGTGTACATGCTTTTAATGCCTCCATTCTCTGCTGGAGATTGCTGGCATCTGGCCTATCCATTACCAAACTTTCAACTTTTCTCTCTAGATAGCTTTCCCTCAGTGGGACTCAAGTTAAAAGATCCTATTCTTTGGTGCTGCAGTGGCCTTCCATCACTTGGCCTGGTACTCCCTTTCTCCTGTGCTTTCAAAAGAATCTCTGTGTTGGTTGAGCTTGGAAATTGGTGGGATAAACATTGTCTCTGGACTGTCAAGTAAAAGTGCCAGGGTGTTCAGAGGCTAATGCAATTCCTTCCAGTGTTCACCAACAAATCTGTAGATTGCATATAATGATCTAGTTCTCTTCATTGCAGAATGCTAAGGAGCTTAACATGGGCCAGCTGAATTTTGTTGGAGAGGCTTAAGATTTGTAATAATCTTTCCTTGCTCTACATTTTTGCCTCTGCATGCTCTATTTTGGCAAGATTTAATGAATCCAATAATTTATCATGACTAGAGATGGTCCCTTGCTGGTATGGGCAGTTTTCATCCCCTCATATCCACTCCCTTCCCCACCTGGTCCTCAGACTAGTATGGTGCATCTTTATCTCCTTCTCCTTCTTTCTGATTGCAGTATTGTATATTTTGGGAACACTAACCTCGTTCAATCCCTTCCTTTTGTATTTGAGGCAACTCAGTTCTATTTATCTCAAAGTGACTTTTCCAAGATCGCTTATCTTGCTGTAGGACAGTCACAGGCTTCTTTATAACACAAAGCTCCAGCCCTCAACGTGGCAGCAGAGGACAAAGTACCTCCTGGTCACCCTTCTGCTGAGCCAGCCTCAGGGGATGGAGGCACAGCTTTACAAAAGCTGTCCTTGAGCTTCCTGACCTGTGGTGTGGCCTCTTCAACTTTGCATATAGCCAAAGTAACAGCGAAGACTTTTGACAAGGTTGGGTTTAAGAGGACTGCTACAGGTAGAGAGGTATTACTGGAAAGTGTGAGAGACTGGAACACAACTATATGATACAATGCCAGGGACGTATGCAGGATGTAGAGAGGTATTTATTTAATTTCTCTGGGGGAGGGTTGCCTGAGGAGACTGAGAAGAGAGGATGTCATGGAGGTAAGAAGGTAGATCCCTGAAGATCTCAACTTAAGAAAGAACCAAAGATTGAAGTCATGACTTGTTTCTTCTGGGTTACTTATTTTTGATTACTAACAATTGATTGTGTGTTAGATTCTTTCTGTCTTTTTTTTTTCTTAACAGAAATCTTTTGCAAAGAATTTACTTATTTACTTACTCGTTTGTCATTTAGTGTCACATTTTGGGCTGTTATGGCATTTTAATGGGTTTATTTATTTTCCACATTGTTCTGTGATTGTCTGCTTATATGTATTTGTTATTATTTTTAAACACCAGACTGCATTCCTTGAGGAGAAGGCCCATTTCTTCTTTGAACTCTATCTCTGGAGTCTAACACAGAGAGAGCTCTGGGGTGCCTTTAGTAAAATTTGATTTGTTAAAAAATATTTTTTGTTTGCTTGTGATACTTGGTGGGTCCATTTACCAGTATTTAATTTTAGATTTTTGCTTGTGTATTTTGCCAATGACATTGTTTTACATCTGTGTTTTTTGGATGGTCTTTGTTAGAAAAGATCAGTAGAACTTAGGGAAATGAATCACCAACTTTCCATTGGTTTCAATGGTCTAGTACATTTTAAACATTACAGAAACCATCTCTCTGACATTTTGAAAGCTTTATTATCTAGTAAGAAAAGGTTCTGATGGCATCAATTTTCCCCTGAGGACGTTGTCACCTCCCATTTTTAGTTTAGTTTTATATTTTTCTAGGTAATGTGCTGTTGTGGTTTGTATTTCCAATTTTATACAGAAAGTGCTTAATGGTGTGACTTTTAACTTTTATGCTGTTCTTTTCCCCATGAATTAAAATGGTTGCTATCATTTTATTTCCTTTTTTTTTTTTTAAAGACACCATATTTTGTTCATAGATTTTGGTGTAGACCAGAGTTAGGCAAACTTTTGTGAAGGGCCAGAGAGTATGGCATTGTAAGCATGCAGTGTTAAACTCTGTAATCATGGCAGGAAAGAAATCTAGATGATACATAAACACATGAGCTATGTTGCAAATGGTCACTTACCAATTAAATGCACTTTCAAAAGCAGATGGAGGGCTGAGTTTTGTCTGTGGGTCACAGTTTGACCCCCTACTGTAGCTCTCTTTTGATTTTTGTAGTTTAGTGACTTTTTAAATACCCGAATGTGTGATTAACATTTATAAATATTTTCTGATAGCAAGAAAAGAAGATGTATTATTTGTATGTATGGTACAATTTTGATCTCTTAAATCTTAGTACGTATAATTTAGGCCATTTTAGCTGCATTGTTTTGGAGGGGTTCAAACTTCTTAGTCTTTGACAAATCAGGTAATTTTAACAATTCTAACAATATTATTTGGCACATACACAAAAAGAGTTTTGCTGGTTATTTTCTAAAAACAGATTCCACAAGGAGTGTGTCAAAAGGTCTTCTTGGAAAAGATTGTGAACTGGTAGTTCATCCACTGCATAGCTGAGTTTCTTTGGCTTTTGCAGCAT